ATGAGTACAGGGACGCCCCGAAAATGCCAGCCGGTCCAATGCATTTGGTGGAGGAAGTGTGCACAGCATATGGCGGCAAAAAAGGGAAACCAGCGGCTGCCACAGTGGGCTGACCTCCTCTGTGGGTGGTTTGATGGCCCCCAGTACCTAAGTACAGGCTGTAGCTAGGCTTACAGAGTTGGAAGAGCTGAGGTTAGAGAAGGACGTGCAGTTGCCCCTACTCTGCAGGCTTCGGGGCTGGCAGGTGAGCAGGACGGTGCTGGAGGCCTTAGCATGCCGTCATGCGAAACGAGGAGGGCGCAAGCTGCTGCAGATCAAGGTCAGAGCGCTTGTGACAAAGCCTGGTTGGGATGCCAAAAGGTGGAATCCCTGGGAAGGGGAGGAGAGAGAAGAGGAGGAGGCTGGTGATTGATGGCGAACGCCTGGACCCTAATACAAAGGGAAACAAAAGCACAGCCCATTGCCAAATGCTTGGGGCAGGCAGAGTAGAACATTCCTCCAGGAAGCTCCCAACTGTCTTCACGTTAATGTTCTGCTAGAGGGAAAAACAACCTTAGCTTGACAATAGCAAGGTCTCCAGGACCCTGTGAGTCTTCTTGAACATATGAGAGTCCTTTTAGAAACTTCCCTCTCTCTTTACCTCCCCCAACTCCGAAGATATAATCAGTCACCCATCAGGCCCCCAGTGCGGTTCTTTCTGCCCATGGGTCCTGTTCCATGCTAACATAAAAAAACACCTTTTTGTACTGAAAAATCTCAAGAATTCTTTCTTGGCCATTGGCTCTGAACCCCAATATTTCCACATTAGGCATGATGAGAGAATATACTAGCACTGAGCTTTTTCTTTTTTTTTAAAGTAGGCTCCATGCCCAATATGGGGCTTGAACCCACGACTGAGATCAAGAGTTGCATGCTCTACCACCTGAGCCAGCCAGGTGCCCCCCCTCCCCTTTTTTCCCACTGAGCTTATTGACTTAGCTGCCAAGTTCCAGCAGAAGGCCAGGGCAAGTGCCCCAACATGGTTGGTGTGGCTATGGGATACGGGGGCCATAGCTTTTCGCTGACCAGGCTGGAGGCAGAGATGATGAGCATCACAATGCACCCTGCCCTCTGGCAGTGCCTGCACAGGGCCCAGGGGCTCAAAGTACTCACTCCCAAATAGATTGAATTATTCTAGCCTACAGGGAGGTTTGGCTCAATGAGGGGCATGCGGGAACCTGGGAACCTGGAACTTTATAGATAAAGTGCAGTAAATTCTCAGGGAGCTGGGAATGAGACAGGCCATCTAGGCCTCCATCTTCGAAGGGTCTGACCTGGCCACATTCACTGCAAAGAATGAAAGCCAAGAATCTCCATTCAGCCCTTAGGACCTGGTACAGGACGCTGATATCCAAGCTGAACCCAGTTGTGGGACAAGACGTTGATATTGGGCAATCCATTGTTATCTGGGGGACATGGACAGATCCTGGGAACAGGATGTAGGAAAGACGTTAGGCTTTGAAGCTGACGGCCAAGAAAGAATTCTTGAAACATCTTTGGTGCAAAAAGGTGATTTTATTAAAGCACGGGACAGGACCCGGGGGCAGAAAGAGCTGAACTGGGGTCGTGAGGAGTGGCCCATTACATACTTTCAAGTTGGGAGGTGGTTAGGGAGAGCGTGAAGTCTCTAAGGAGCTTTGGAAGCAAGGTTTCCAGGACCTTGAGGGGGGTTAGCTATTGTTGGGAAAAGGTCATTTATTACCGTCTAATAAAACCTTAGTCACGAGAGCCTTCAGATGTAGATGCTTGGGGGATCATTGCCAACACGTATCTTGGGGGATAGAGATAAAGGAAATTTCTAAAGGAATTTTTATATGTTAAAGTAGACCTAAAGGATCCTGGTTTGGGGGGGGGTAGTTCGGGCTCAGATTGCCTTTTGCCCTTAGCAAAGTATTAACATCGAGGCAGCAGAGTCCCTAGAGAAACGTCCCTCTGCCTGTTTCAAGGACTTGTCAGTGGGCTGTAGTCAGTAAGGAAATCTAATAATTTTCTTCTGCCTTTGTTTCCCACGTCAGTGTGGGCTGGGGGAAAGACCGGAGACAGAGAGGGCACTTGAGAAGCCAGAAGGCTATTCCAATTAGCTATAAAGGACCTGGTGTGAAGAGTTGTATTTCATCTGTTTGTTTTTGCATTTAGAACTCTTCCCTGTTTTCTGCTTTGTTTTGTTTTGGTTTGCTTTGGTTTGGGTTTGTTTGTTTGTTTTGTAAGTTTATTTTGTTTTGTTCTTTTCAGTAAGTTTTCGAACTTGGAATAATTTTAGATTTACAGAAAAGTTGTCAAGATAGAGTTCCCATACCCTCCCCATCCAGTTTCCCCTATTGTCAATATTTGTGCATTTCTCACAAGCAAGGAGCTAACATTGGTACATCTTAGTGAACTGAACTCTGAACTTTGTTTGGATTTCAGTAGGTTTTACCTAATGTTTTGTTTTGGTTTGGTTTCCTGTTCTAGGATCCAACCCATAATATACGACATTTAGTGGTCATGTCTACTTAGCCACCTCCGGGCTATGGCAGTTTGTCAGAATTTCCTTGATGAGGAAATTCCTCATCAGAATTCCTTGTCAGAATTTTTGATGACTTTCATAATTTTGAGGATTTATAGTCAAATATTTTGTAAAATGCTCCTCAACTTGGATTTGCCTGATATTTTCCTCATGGTTTGATTGGAATTATAGGGTTGTTGGGAGGAAGACCAAAGAAGTGACATGCCCTTTTCAGCATACCATATTAAAGGCCCATGTTTTCGACATGGCTTATCACTGATGCTGTGAACACTGATCACCTGGCTGAGATAGTGTTTGCTAGATTTCTCTACTATAAAGCCACTTCCTCTCTCCCCTGCCTTTCCATACTCTGTGCTTTGGCAAGGCTGGGGACTTAAACTCTATCTCCTTGATGGAGGTGTATCTATTTAAATTTAGAATTTTTCTGTTTAGATTTTTCACATATCCCTCATTTAGACAATCACTTGTGTATACCATTTTCTTTCTTGATTTTAAAATTTCACATTAAAAAATTTAATTGCTATATTCTAAACATTACCTAATTTTGTTCAGTATATCTGTGCAATTTTTTAGTCTTCAGAATTTTTCCTTCCATTTGTGCCCTCCCCAATTGCATGCCTTAATTGATATTTATGTACATCATTCAAGAAAGGGTTAACTTTTTCATAATCCAATTTTCCCTAATCAACATATTATGTACTTAAGTCTCATCTTTTAACTTCTTATAGAACTTTCTACCTTTCTTCATATCTACTTCTATACATATCCTATGTGTAGATCTCAAGTGTCTGGAATAGCTTGCTTTATTTTGGAAACCAATGAGCTTTTTTCTTTTAGATGAGGTGGACTACTGAATATTTTGTAATTTTGTATTTGACAGTCTAACTAAATGTTCATTTGTTTTCCAATTTTTCTTGGTGTTCACAGTACAAACAAATCAACTGAAACTATTTTGTCAAAATTTTTGAAAAGTGTGGCCAAAATTTCTTAATAATTTCAAATAATTATGATAGACATTCTTGTCATATTCCTCTTATGAGACTGACACTAGTATCTCTCCATCACACATGATACACCAAACTTGGTTTTGAGACATGTTGTTCTGTATTTTAAGAAATGATGCTAGTCCTTTTTATTAAGCATGTGTGTGAAACCACATGAATCAAATATTCACATATGCCCTAAATTTTAAGATTAACTTGCTAACTTTTGGTTTTCTCATATATTGTCTAAAGATTTCAGGATACTGGAAAATACTAGTGTATTTGAAAGGAAATTCCTTTTCAGAAGATACTTTAAGAAAACCAGGCATCCTTGCTGGACTGATGTGTGGTAGGACTGCCACCAGTTAAACTGAAAGCTACAAGATTACATCTCTCCTCTTTGTTTTTTTTTCTTTTTCTCTTTAAGATTTAAGTAATCTCTACACCCAACATGGGCCTGGAACTCACAACCTTGAGATCAAGAGTTGCAAGCCCGGCACCCCCTCCTGTTTGTTCTTATCCCATCATCACAAGTATAGTTCTTAACTCAGGGCGCCTGGGTGGCTCAGTGGTTGAGCGTCTGCCTCTGGCTTAGGTCATGATCCCAGAGTCCTGGGATCGAGCCCCGCATAGGGCTCCCTGCTCAGCGGGAAGCCTGCTTCTCCCTCTCCCACTCCCTCTGCTTGTGTTCCCTCTGTCTCTCTCTCTGTCAAATAAATAAAAATCTTAAAAAAAAAAAAAGTATAGTCCTTAACTCAAAATATTAGCACGAAAGTTGCCTGTTTAGGGGCGCCTGGGTGGCTCAATGGGTTAAGTGTGGGACTCGATTTCAGCTCAGGTCATGATATATGGGTCCAGACATCAAGCCGAGGTGGGGCTCAGGCGGAGTGTGGAGCTTGGTTGGGATTCTCACTCTCCCTCTGCCCCTCCCCTATGCTCTCACATGCGTGCTCTCTAAAAAAATGTCACCTGTTCACATCGGCTCAGAAACGAAGTGGTGGTTGTAATGATAGCGTAATTGCAGTTCCTCCTCCCGGTCACTCTGGTATGTGGTGACTAAACACTTTGCTGTCTGGGACGCCTGGGTGGCTCGGTCGGTCGGTTAGGGGAAGCACTCTTGATTTCCGCTCAGGTCATGATACTCAGGTCAGGTGGTGAGATCAGTCTGCAGTGGGATGCGCTGAGCATGGAGACTGCTTCGGATTCTCCCTCCTTCTCTCTGGCCCTCCCCCTGCGCTCTCAGAAAATCCTAGCTGACCACTTACCAGGAAGGCTTGTTCAGTCTTAACAGCTTTAAAACTCAAAAGAACCCGTTAGTAGAACCAAAGGTCATTTTGAAGTGCTGGGATTTCTACCGAGATTCATGGTACAGGTACATATAGGAAAACACCTCACATATTTGGCAGTTTATGCACAGCCTTTACTGATTATTTGAGTGGCTCTGAAAAGAGCCTTTGGTTTTTCTTCTCCAAACGTTCAGGTCACTCACTGGGACTCAGGACTTGGAAGATTACTTGCTCTGGACTTTGGGGGGGCTCTCGGTCTTCTTGGGCAGCAGCACGGCCTGGATGTTGGGCAGGACGCCGCCCTGCGCGATGGTGACGCGGCCCAGCAGCTTGTTGAGCTCCTCGTCGTTGCGGATGGCCAGCTGCAGGTGGCGCGGGATGATGCGCGTCTTCTTGTTGTCGCGCGCCGCGTTGCCCGCCAGCTCCAGGATCTCGGCCGTCAGGTACTCGAGCACGGCCGCCAGGTACACGGGCGCGCCGGCCCCGACCCGCTCCGAGTAGTTGCCCTTGCGGAGCAGGCGGTGGATTCGGCCCACCGGGAACTGCAAGCCAGCTCTAGACGACCTGGATTTAGCTTTAGCGCGTGCTTTGCCACCCTGCTTCCCGCGCCCAGACATAGCTGAGTCTACCGTAGGAAACTGCAGCTGCTAAAGCCACTACAGGGCCTATTTATAGCCTGACAGTAGGTTATGATTTGTTATCTGATTGGCTGATGGCCATCTAGCCAATCAGAAAGCCCGGCCAGTATCCCCTCATTTACATTCACGCCACTACCCATTAACCAATCAGACGGTGTCTGCTCAACACGTCACTTCAGAGCTGTGCCTATAAATACTGCTCTCACCAAGCCTCTCCGCTCTTTGCTTGCTTGGTGTTGGTTGGAGCCCTGAGAGCTGTCACTGGAGAGCTGTAACGCTATAGAGCTGTCCACTTATCATGCCAGAGCTGATCTCAAAGGGCACTACCATTTCCAAGAAAGGCTTCAAAAAAGCTGTAACTAAAACTCAGAAGAAAGAAGGGAAGACGCGGAAAAGATGCCGTAAAGAGAGTTATGCCATTTATGTCTACAAGGTGTTGAAGCAGGTGCATCCTGACACCGGCATCTCCTCCAAAGCCATGAGCATCATGAATTCGTTTGTTACTGACATCTTCGAGCGCATCGCGGGCGAGGCGTCCCGCCTGGTACATTACAACAAGCGCTCGACCATCACGTCCCGGGAGATCCAGACGGCCGTGCGCCTGTTGCTGCCTGGGGAGCTGGCCAAGCACGCCGTGTCCGAGGGCACCAAGGCCGTCACCAAGTACACCAGCTCCAAGTGAACTTGTCCAAGCAAGTGTCTTCAGCTAATCTAACTCAAAGGCTCTTTTAAGAGCCACTTATATTTCCTCCAAGAGGGCTGTGAACTCTGAACTCTGTGCTGACAGGACACGGTCCCTCAATTGTGGCAAGCTGAGAATTCAAAAATCTTGTTTCTAAAAGCGGTGAAAGTAGGTGCTAGTTACTTGAATGGTGCGACTTGTTCAGCCAGCTTAGGACCAAACAGTGATGTAGAACTAGCAACTGAAGCTGATGAAGTACTCTCCCCAACGGTGCCAAAATTCACATTACATTCTCCGGCTACCAGAGTTTTTCACGGGAGCCCTGAGTGTCTCCATACAAGCAATACTCCTTGAGTTTGAAGAGTATTTGTAATCTGTACATGTGGATGGGGTTGCTGGCGGAGACCAGGCTCCCAAGGGATGCATCAGGGGTTTTGTTTTTTAAAAATTTTATTTTGGCATGGCAGGGCAAATTGAAAGGGATAAAGTACAAGGCCAAACAGAGCCTGAGGCAGGGCTGGATCCCAGGACCCTGGGATTATGACCTGAGTGAAAGGCAGATGTTTAACCAACTGAGCCATTCTGCCTTTTGCAAAAATCTTCCCCTATCACAAGACAAGGGTCTGAAGCTGTGGAGAGCTTTTGGGGGCCCTAGAGAAGTGTGGCCTGGAGAATATTAATGTTTTGCTTCCTATTTACTGCTGTGCATGAAAGAATTGGTCCTATACACTAGCCTAGCTGCCCTCAAGCTGCAGTTTGAGGTGCTGTCTCTTGATTACAGGTTTGGAGCCTGTTATTTGTAGAGAGCATGGTGACACTGGGATGTGTAAATGTTACCATGAGGTATTCCATATTGGAATTAACCTGGCTAACCACAATCTGCTGCTAAACAGTAACTTTAACTGAATCTCTTCCTTTTTTACATCGCTTTTCTACACCTTATGATCACTTGTTCTGTTGTAGGATTGATCATTAAATGGTGTTTGTGTCCTGTATTACTGCATCATCTGGACTCTTAGAGAAGAGACCAGGTGTTGAAGTCCATGTATGGACTGAATTCATCGACAAAAGAAAGGGATCAAATTACTTCCAGTAAACCTGTGATTTAGCTGGAATCCTCAACTTGACTTAATTTAAAGCACTTTTTTATGATTTAGAAATGTATGTATTTCCTTTGCATTACATAAACTTTAGTACCACCTGATAGTGCCAAGCCTGACACAGGTTTTACCTCAGATTATGTTTTGGCTGCAAATAACAGGAAGTACCAAATGAATGAGCTGATACAATAAGTAATATCACTAATCAGGATGCCCAAAGGCAGAGAAATTCCAGGAGTGGGATGATCAGAGTCCTGGCTCATTGCCCTGATTGCCCCAGCTCTTCTCCGCACCCTGACTTTACCCTCATGCTGGCCACAGGTGCAAGTGTTCATGCAGATGGGAGGAAGTAAAGGCAGGAAGAGACAGTCTATTTCACTGGGTCTCTGAGAGCAAGAAAAGCCTTCCCTGAGGACTTCCTTGTCCCTTTTCCTTTTCCTTTTTTTTTTTTTTTTTTTGAGAGAGTAGGGGGGAGTGGTGCAGAGGGAGAGGGAGAGAGAGAATGTCAAGCAGACTCCCAGCTCAGCACGGAACCAATGTGGGGCTCCATCTCACAACCCTTTGATCATGACCTGAGCTGAAATCAAGAGACGCTTAACTGACTGCGCCACCTGGGCACCCCACCTTGTCCCTCTTCTAAACCTGAGTCTAGTCACAAGCAGTGCGTAAGCCATTCACCTACAGGGAATGGGACCATGTGACTGGTATGGATAAATCAGTTTCCTTCATATAAATTTGGCATTTTTTTAATTAAATATAATTCTAGGTATTTTGGTTTTGGTCTTACTGTAAATGGTGTATTTCCCTATTCAGATTCTTCTAGTATTTAATTGTTCTAGGTCAAAGTATCAATATCTGTGCATCATTTTTATATCCTATCATACCTTACTGAATTAACTTATATTCTTGTTGGCTTTCTGGTAAGTTCTGTTGGGTTTTACATTTTTGTGATAATATCCAAAAATAAACATTTTACTGCCTCCTTTTAATTAGTTTGCTTCTAATTTCTTTCTCCTGTCTGATTTCAATGGCTCACAGCCTTCATAATGATGTTAAATAGAAATGAAAAGAGTAGGCATTGTTTTTTTCCTCATTTTGCTGAAGAATCTTCTGCACTATTTCTCATTAGATATATTTCATAATAATGAGAAATAATTCTTCCATGTCCACTTTATTGAGAGCTGTAAGTTAAGAATGGATATTGAGTTTTAGAAAATGCCTTTTCAGCATCACTGGGGATTGATCATAAACCCTTCCTCTTTAGACATATTATAATGAGTTATTTTAATAAACTTCCTAATACTGAGTTATCCTTGCATTTCTGCATAAAAACTTGCTTGGGCATCATGTTCACTTAATGTTCTGCTGAATCCTGGCTGTCAATATACATTTACAATTTATGCTTCCATATTATAAATTAGATAATCTCTCTTTTCCTTTTTTGTGGGTAATGGTCAGCTTTTGGTATAAATTTTTCTTCAATTCATAAAAATAATATGGAAGAGAATGGTCTTTTTTTCTTTTAAAGATTTATTTATTTATTTGAGAGAGAGCGAGCGAGCACATGTGCACGTGCATAGGCACACAGGAGTGGTGGGGGGAGAAGGGGCAGAGGGAGAGAGAGAATCCCAAGCAGACTCCCTGCTGAGCGTGGAGCTTGGTCCCCCAACCCTGTGATCATGACCTGAACTGAAACCAAGAGTCACATGCTCAACAGACTGAGCGACCCAGGCACCCCCAGAAAATAACTGTCTTTTTAATACCTGAAACTGAATACATTGGAATTCTCTTTTCTTGAAAACTTTGGTAAAATTCCTTTTTTTCACACTTCTTCAGTTGACAGTTCTTTGACCATTTTCCCTATTCTTTTACGAAACGATTTTGTTTAGATTTGCTAATAATTTATAATAAGTTTTGGTAAATTATATTTTACAAGAAAATAATTTAAAGTTATCCTTTGAGAGATAAGCAAATTGGTATCTAATGATTTTATCTCCACTGTGTTTGTAACTATAAGTCCTTTATTACCCCTAATTTTGTGTTTGTGTTTTCTCGCAAACCCCATCAGTTACTGGCTAATCTTTTATTTTTTAAAATGTATTTATTTGCTATTTCTTTACTTTGGCATTTATTAGTTTTACTGTAATGAAAAATTTAAAAGCGGTTTTGCCATTTTTCTTTTTCTTAAGTATTTTTTTCCAGGCAGGTTTTTCATTATTTAACTTTTCGCCTTCCACCGACTCACTTTATTTTTATTTTTCCTAGCTTCTTTAGTGGGATGCTTACTTCCAGAGACAAATCTCACACTGCACGGTTTTGATATAAATGAATTTCAGTTATGACAGTTCGGTTAAATAAACCAATACCAACAATGCAGTACAAATTTCAATAGTGAATAGTTGCATAAATTACAAACTTCAGTGCTGGCTCTTCAGTTCGTAAGTCACTGCACAAATGATAAATGCACATCATGTTCTATCATGTGACCTATCATGTCACTTATTTTATTTACTTTAAAGATTTTATTTGTCAGAGAGAGAGACAGCACAAGCAGGGGGAGCCTCAGGCAGAGGGAGAAGTAGGCCCCCCACTGAGCAAAGAGCCTGATGTGGGGCTCAATCCCAGGACCGTCAGATCACAACCTGAGGTGAAGTCAGATGCTTCACCGACTGAGCCACCCAGGCGTCCCATGTCACTTATTTTAAAATGTGTGGGTTACTGGACACCACATATGTTACTCAGTTTATGCACAAATAGGAAGTATATACTTTTAGTTGCTGCTTTGTCTCTCCCGGTGATAAATGTGCACGACAAGAATTGATAACCAAAAGAGGGATTTGGCCATCAAGATGAAAGCCTAACAAAACAATGAAAAATAATAATCCTGGAAGTGGAATTGAGGCTGAATATAAAAGGGGTTCTAGAAGAAACAGCCAATAGTGAGACTGCTGGCAGTCACTGTCAAGAGACTAGCTACATGACCAGACGAACTCAGTGAAGGTGAACTCGCTGACATAAATGAGAAAGTGTTTTTGTTAAAAAGGATGATGTTCCAGAGAAAGTATAGGAACTGATCCATAGAATTTTTGCACACACCATAGCTAATGTAAAGAGAAAGTAAAACAGCTGTTAACTACTGCTCCCATACTAGATCATCTTAAGGTCTATAAGTTTTAGTTCTATGAAGTAATTCCACAGCTCCAGGCTTTCACTATCTAATACAAAGTACTTAAAACAGGTTTCTTAGAGAAAGGCAAGCCATATTTATGGTCCTCATGGCCCATGTAAGGACCTCCCTGAGGACACAGGATTATTGGAGCCTCTTTCTGTTCAAAGAACTCCCTTCTCCAAGTTGCTTCACCTAGATCTCAAGTCTCACTGAATTGCATAAAAAATCCGATAAAGTATTTAGAACGAAAAAATAGTCAGCAAGCACTTCAGTGGAGACCTTACCTATTCTTATTTTTCAAACATAAGGCATGCACAAAGTGAGCTTGGCAAACAGACCCAAGAAATCTATTTGCTTGTTACACCAGCAGTTCCCAGGTCAGAAGACCTACATACATACAGTACAACTAAGAGCCTACAGTCTTTTGGAAAATGTGGGTGGCTCTTAAAAGAGCCTTTGGGTTATAAAGCTTGTCTGGTGTCGGGAATCGTTTTACTTGGAGCTGGTGTACTTGGTGACGGCCTTGGTGCCCTCGGACACGGCGTGCTTGGCCAGCTCCCCGGGCAGCAGCAGGCGCACGGCCGTCTGGATCTCCCGGGACTTAATGGTCGAGCGCTTGTTGTAATGCGCCAGGCGGGACGCCTCGCCTGCGATGCGCTCGAAGATGTCGTTGACGAACGAGTTCATGATGCTCATGGCCTTGGACGAGATGCCGGTGTCAGGGTGCACCTGTTTCAGCACCTTGTAGATATAAAGGGAATAGGTCTCTTTACGGCATCTCTTCCGCTTCTTCCCTTCTTTCTTCTGAGTTTTGGTTACAGCTTTTTTGAAACCTTTCTTGGAAATGGTAGCGCTTTTCAAGGTCAACTCTGGCATGGCTGTCGATAAAGCTCCAAAGCCTCCGCCTACTGGCACTTAAGGACGCCAAGTGCTGTATTTATAGGCACAGCGCTCAATGACGTGTTGGGCAGCCAACATCTAATTGGGCAATGGGTAGTGGCGTGTTTGTAAATGAGGTGATTCCAGGAATGTTCTCTCATTGGTAAACTATCAGCCAATCAAATAGCAACTCACAACCTACCATTAGAATATATAAAGGCCGGGCACCTGACCCAACGGAAATTTTCTCCGTTATTACACATATATTCCCAAGCTATCTCAGAACGTGGCAAGCAAGGCGGCAAGGCTCGTGCCAAGGCCAAGACGCGCTCGTCGCGGGCCGGCCTGCAGTTCCCGGTGGGCCGCGTCCACCGCCTGCTCCGCAAGGGCAACTACTCGGAGCGGGTCGGGGCCGGCGCGCCCGTGTACCTGGCGGCCGTGCTCGAGTACCTGACGGCCGAGATCCTGGAGCTGGCGGGCAACGCGGCGCGCGACAACAAGAAGACGCGCATCATCCCGCGCCACCTGCAGCTGGCCATCCGCAACGACGAGGAGCTCAACAAGCTGCTGGGCCGCGTGACCATCGCGCAGGGCGGCGTCCTGCCCAACATCCAGGCCGTGCTGCTGCCCCAGAAGACCGAGAGCCACCATCATAAAGTCCAGTGCAAATAACACCTCACAAGCAGTAAAGCTTAGCGAGTGAAAACAAACCCAAAATGAACCCAAGGCTCTTTTCAGAGCCACTCATATTTTCTGAGAAAGAGCTTAGATTTACAAAAAAGTTATTAGGAACAGTAATGGATTCACCTGCAACAAATAAGGATTTAATAGACCACAACTCTTTTAACAGGATGCTGAAAATTACCTAGTTAATGGGGACCGAGGCCTCTGAAGCAGTTCACCTTAGTGCACAGTAATTTTTACAATGGAACTTTTTTAGTCCTCCAGAGTAGATAGAGCAACCATCTAGCAGGCTCCTGGGGGCAGATGTGCCATTCTCTTTCAGAAAAGAGCAAACTTAGATTAGGGCTGTTGTGACAACAAACTTAGCACCAAACAAGGGGTATGGCTGGCCTTTTGAGACTTCGTGGATCATCAGAACATTGTGACTCTATTCCATGGGGTCATCAACCCAATCCCACCCTCTGCTGCTAGAATCCATGCGGGCAGTGAGATAGGCTGGTCTGTCACTTATGGCTTCTTCTCTTGCCCCGAGTCCTCTAAAATCCTGAAATTTATCAGAACTGGACCACATTTTTATTTTCTACCTAGTAGAAATAAAACACATCTATCTTCCCATCCTATAAATTCTTACACAATCCAACTAAACTCACTATTATGTTAATCAACCAGTAATATATGACCATCATATAAGAATGGCACCCAAATAACACAATGCTGGAAATAAGAACTAAACTTGTTGCATTCACTGGAATATAACAATATTATTAGATCAGACAGTTTTCTCTTTAAAATCTGGCAGCAAAATTTGGGATTCCTCAGATGAATCTCCTCTCCCTTTGTTATCTCAGAGAAATTAAATCCTACATGATATAAGTCATTTCAGTCCAACACCTTTCTTCTGATTCTCCTTAATCCCAACCATTCAGGTTCTGCTTAGATTCTAGGCTGCTATCTGTGTTCTTTCTGGGCAATTTGGGATCTTGTATCTTAAGGGCCCAGGTAGGGCTTAAATCCCATAATAAGTGTCCTTATAAGAGACCCAAGAGAAGACACAGAGAAGGGAAGATCATGTGAAAGTCGAAGGCAGAGACTGGAAGTGATATGGCTACAAACCAAGAAACACTAAAGATTCCTGGAAGCCACCAGTACCCAGGAGGGAAACATGGGACAAATTCTCTTGAGTATCCAGAAGGAAGCAGTTCTGTTAACATTTGATTTTGACTTCTCCTTGCCAAGACTATACAAGACTAAATTTCTGTTTTAAACCCTCCAGTTTGTGATAATTTGTTATAGCAGCCATAAGAAACTAATACCCTCTCTTTTAAGTGGATGCAAAGACAAGCTATAGACTCAAAGAAAATAGCTTCAAGGCACATATCTTACAAAGGACTAGTATCTAAGATATATAAAGAACTCCCAAAACTCAACAGTAAAAAACTACTCAACAATCCATTTAGAAAATGGATGAAAAACATAAATGGACATTTCACCAAAAAGGATATACAGATGGCAAATAGACACATGAAAAGTTGTTCAATATCATATGTCATTAGGTAATTTCAAATTAAAATCACAACGAGATGCCACTACACACCTACTTGAATGACCAGAATCCAAAACACTGACACCACCAAATGCTGGCTAGGAGCTGAAGTAACAGAAAACTATTTTTCATTGCTGGTTGTAGTGAAAAATGGTACAGCCACTTTGAAAGACACAGTTGCTTATAAAAGTAAACATTAGCTTACTATTTGATCCAGCAATTGTCTATCTATCTATCTATCTATCTATCTATCTATCTAAGATATATATATATATACACACACACACAGAGATATATATATAATATCCCAAATATTTATAGCAGTTTTATTCACAATTCAGTTCAATAGATGACTGGATAAATAAACTATGGTATATCCATACAAGGAAGTATTATTCAGTGTAAAAAGAAATGAGCTATCAAGCCATGAAAAGGCAGTAGGAATCTTAAAAGCATACTGTTAAGTGAAAGAAGCCAGTCTGAAAAGACGACATACTGCATGAGTCTAATAACATCCTGGGAAAGGCAAAACTATAAGAACAATAAGAAAGATCAGTGGTTGTCAGGCTTTGGTGGTAGGAGGAAGCAGGGAAGAAGAGATGCAGCACAGAGGATTTTTAGGACAAGAAAACCATTCTCTATAATACTATATGGTGGGTACATGACCTTATGCATTTGTCAAAACCCACAGAACTAACTGCACAACACAGAGTGAACTTTAATGTAAATTATGGATTTTTGTTAATAATAATATACCAATAGAGATTCATTGATTGTAACAAATGTACCACACTAACATAGAGGTGGAGGAGGTATATGAGGTATATGCACTTTCTGCCCAATTTTTCTGTCAACTTGAAACTGCTTTTAAAAATAAAGTCTATTTTTTTATTTTTTTAAAGGTTTTATTTATTTAAGAGAGAGAAAGAGCATGAGAGAGAGATCACGAGCAGGGGGGAAGGGTAGAGGGAAAAGCAGACTCCTCGGTGAGCAGTGAGCCGGATGTGAAACTCTATCCCAGGACCCTGGGATCATGACCTGAGCCAAAGGCAGACGCTTAACTGACTGAACCACCCAGGTGCCCACAAAGTCTATTTTTTAAAAAACAATCCCAAAAGATTACCTCCTATATAATTCAATTTACATAACGTTCTTGAAATGACATAAAGAAACAGAAACTGTATTAGTGACCCAAGAGTCAAGAGGGAGTGTGGGTGGCAGAGAAATGTCTGTGCTATAAAAAGGAAACATGAGGGATCCTTGCCGTGGTGGAAGTATTCTATATTGATTATATCAATGTCAACATCCTGGTGGTGATATTGTACTAAGTTTTGCAATATGTACCTTTTGGGGAAACTGAGTAAATGCTACATGGTATCTGTAATATTTTTTTTACAACTGCATGTGAATCTACAGTTATCTCAAAATAAAGTTCACTTAACAATTTTGGTAGGATGCTGTTGAAGTCATGCTGAGAGGGAAAACTAGCACTAAATGTTCATAACAGAAAAGGAGAAAGTTCTCAAATCATTACTACAAACTTCCACAGGAAGATATAGAAAAAGAAGAGCAAAATAAGTTCAATGCAAGAAGGAAGAAAGATAAGAAAAGAACTCAGGGCTCCTGGGTGGCACAGTCAGTTAAGCATCTGACTCGTGGTTTTGGCTTGGGTTGTGATCTCAGAGTCATGAGACCCAGCCGCGAGTTGTGCTCCATGCTCAGCATGGAGTCTGCTTGAGTTTCTCTCTCCTTCTCCCTCTGCCCCTCCCACTTTTGCTCTCTCTCTTAAAATCAATCAAAAAAAAAAAAAAAGAAGAAGAAGAAGAAGAGAACTCAGTGAGATTAAAAACAGAAAAACAATAGAAAAACCATGGCAACAGAATGTCTTTTAGAAAAATCAATACTATTGAGAAGCTCTATCAAGACTGATAATAAAAGAGAGAAATTACCAATCTCAGAAATAAAACGGGATATAACAGACCATTAAAATGATAATAAGGGAACACTGCAAGCAACCACAAACTAGAAGAATTCATCTGAGATAAATTAGAAAAATGGAATATTCTTATAACTTTTAAAGAAATGGAAATAGTAACTAAAAACTTTCACTCAAATAAAATCTGTAGACCCAGATGGTTTCACTAAAGAACTCTACCAAATGTTTAAAGAAGAAATAGCTCTGATTTTCCTCAATCTCTTCCAGAAAATGAAAGAACACACTTCCCAACTGAAGTTGATTCTAAAATTAGCCCAATACTAAAATCATATAACATAAAAACAGTACAAAATAAAACTACAGACCAATATCCCTTATGAACATAGAAAAGAAACAATAATAGCAAATCAAATGCAATAATGTATAAAGATCAAGAAATGCAAGACAGTTTCAATATTCAAAATCAATCAAGGTAATCTACCATATTAACAGTATAAAGAAGAAAATTGTGATCATAGTAATGAATGCAGAGAAAATGTTTGACAAAATTCACTATCCTTTCCTGATTAAAAATTCTCAGCAGAGTAGGAATAGAAGAGAGCTTCCTGAGTCTGATAAAGGACATCTACAAATACCCTACAGATATCATACTAATGAAGAGAGAGTCAGTGCTTCCCCCTAAGATCAGGAACAAGGCAAAGATATTCATTATCACCATTACATTCAACTTCTGAAGTCCTTCATAGCACAATAAAGCAAGAAAAAGAAATTAAAGGCATATGGATTTGAAAATAAGAAATAAAACTTCTATTTGAAGATGATGGGATTGTCCATGTGGAAAATCAGAAGGACACTACAAAAAATCAAAACAAAACAAAAACAAAACTCCTAAAACTTAATAACTGAAATGTAAAGGAACTATAATATCAAACAATTTTGGGAAAAGAAAGAATAAAGTGGGAGGAATCACTCTCTCCAGTTTTAAGACTTATTTTATAATATGGTAATCAAGACTGTGTAGTAATAGGAAAGAGATAGATAAATAGATCAATGGACCAAAACAGGGGACCCACAAATAGTCCTACACAGGTAAGGCCAGCTAGCTTTTGACACTGATGAAAAAGAAATTTAAGGGAGGAAGAATAATCTTTTCAACAAATGATGCTAGACCAATAGGCAAAAGTAGGAAACTCAACCTAAGCCCTACACCTTTCACAAAAATTTGCTCAAAACTGATGGTAGATTTAAATGTAAAATGTAAAACCGTAAACCTTTTAGAAAGAGAAAAATCTTTGGGATCTAGAGCTACGCAAAAAGTTCTTAAACATACCAAAACCATCCAGGAGAGAAAAAAAATTGGTAAATTTCATCAAAAGTAAAAATGTTTTGTGAAAGTCCTGTAAAGAAGATTAAAACGACAAGCTAAGAAAATATTTGCAAACTATAAATATGACAAAAAC